GAAGTTTTTGAGGAAGAAGAAGAAGTAGTATTATTATTATATTTATTTTTTTTAGACTTTAGAAACTCAGAAGCTGATCAAATATCGGGTTAAATATCGGTGGGGTGGCCGATGTCCGATATTCAGTTTTAAGGCCGATACAGGCCGATACCGATAGGGGGCCGATTATATCGTGCATCCCTAAATTTTACTCAAATAAAATAAAAAAAAAGCAGATAGGCATGAAAAAGTCTGCTCCTTTTCCTTTAGCTCTGACTCTACCTTATCCATACGTTAAGCTCATTTTCACAGGTGCAACCAGATCCGTCCGAATCATCATTAAAAATTATTTATGGTACAAAAAAGTACTTATTTGTACCCGTAACATATTAAAGCATACTAAACTACACAGCACTAAATATCAGCAAAAACGTTCTCATCGCAGAACAGTCTGCCGAAATATGATTGCACCGTGTTCATCTGCTTCTTATTTAAGCTATAATTTTAATTATGCATTGTATACTATACTGTACAATCAAGTAAATCATAAGACCAAAACTGACTAAAAAATATTTACAAATCGAATGTAGAATAATGCTCTGCAGGCAGAAAGGGAGAGATCGCATCTCCAGGACAGATCAAGGAAAGGAGACGTTCAACAGAAAGGATGGAAACACATTTATTCTCTCAGAAAAGTCACTGTTAATCCATCACACAATTTAGTTTGCTAAGCTTTTTAGAATTAATGAAAAAAAATGTAGGTAATTCCTTGTGCAAAAGAGCAGATCAGGTATTTTCACGCTTAGCGAAGTTGGAGAAATCTCCAGTCCCTTTAAGCTGCAATATTACTATTTTTAAATAAAAAAGAAGTTTAAACCGAAACTTGCTGCAAATCGCTGCCATTTTGCTGAGACTCAGGAAGGAATACATCCAATATTGTTTCGATATTCAACATCAGAAGAAGAACCACAAGTTCAGGTAAAAGTGGAAGAACTGCAGAATATAATTCAGGTAGATATTTTACTACAAATCTAATAGAACTTTGCCAAAACATTCAGCTGAAAAAGTGCTTGCAGAATAAAAGTAAAGTCATTTGTTTTGAGCTTCAGCTGAGGTTTGAAGCAGAAACAGCGGAGCTGAGCTGAAGCAACACACTCCAACCACCATCTCTTTTTTAATGCGGGAAGAAAAATTCACAGCAAAAAAAAACAAAAAAAAAACAAGAGAGCAGAACTATTCTAGACTGAAGGGAAAAGGCAGCGGGCTCAGCAGTCATCACCGACCTACCGCACAGAGTGTGAATCATTAAACGCATGTGTTCCACATCAACTTCTGGGGCTGCTTCCAACCCACTTATGAGAGTGGGTCTAAATTATGATGGGAGGAATGGGTTAAAGCAGAAAACCTAAACCCCGCTCCCTTAGAGAGTGAAAGCAGGATGGAAAGGACATCTTTTTTTTTCCTTTTATCTAAACAAAGCAGGAACGAGTAAATGAAGCCGCTAATAGAATGATTACATAATCACTAAGAGGTGTGATGTTTTCTACTGGACATAATGAGGAGAAAGATAAAGGGAAAAAATAACATGGCATCGTTTTTAGTGCAGGGAGTACAACAAAGAAAAACATTAAAAGCAACTTAAAGGGGTGATAGAATGATTCTATAGGGT